TACCTGCTCGTGGGCAGTGCGAAGCACAGGGATCAGGAGCCCCCGGCCTCAGAATGAGGACAGTCTTGGAGGGCAAAAAGCCACTCGTGGGCACGGTCTAGAGAGCTAGAGAGCATCTGCTCGGCCAGACTGCCACACAACGGCGATCAGGAGAGGGTGCCATGCCCCTGTAGGTAGAGGTCAAAGTCCGACATGGGCACAGAGCTCTGAACTGATAATGGACCTCTTCCCAGGTTGCCGCAACCTCTGAATCTTTGACCTATGGGGGGGGGGCACTGACTCAGCCGGGGCCGCAGAGGCCGTCGTGGGTTTGACCGCAGCTGAGATGGGCTGAGAGACTGTAGCTGGGTCTGGACGGGATCTCAGAAGCCTGGACCTGCCCACCAAACCCTGAGCGGGAAGGCCCGGTTCATCGGGGAAGTGCCAAGAGTGTAGCCGGCCCGGGAACCAAAACCTCGGAATTTCGGGACCTAGAAGGTGTAGGGACGTCAGGATAGACAGTACAGTTGCGGGATGTGGTGTGAGATGGGTGAAGCCACCTCCTTCCTTGACTCAAGCAGCTGTGGGTCCTCGGAGTCCAAGAGGTTGTTCGCCCACGCCGCTTCTCCAGCCCCGCAGCCTTTGGGACGGGATCCGGGCAGAGGCATTGGAAGCTGGGGCTGGGGAAGCAGCGCCTGAGACTGCGGAGACTCAAGTAGGTTTCTGCCTAAACTTCTCTCAGGCCATCGGGACCGGGAGAAACAACGTCTGGGGCTGTAGTCTCCGGAAGGGAACTTCGGGGCACCCCGGCGCACCCCCCTCGGCCGCCAGTCACCCCGACTCGGATGCCCCACCCCCACCGCCAGTCTCCGGGAGGCTAAACCCCCGCCTCCCGCGCGCAGCCTCCGCGCGCTTCCTCTCCTTCCTCGGGGCGCTCTAACTCCGATCTCCCCAGCTTTCCGAACCCCGAGGTTCCTAGCCAGGTCGAGCGTGCCGGCCCAGGGCCTCCGGGAGAGCCGAGAGGACCCAACTGGGGACCGAGGGGGTCTGACC